ACAAAACTGGGAGGCTAGAGGTGTAGCTCACTTGCCTAGCATGGGTAAGGCCCAGAGATAGATACAAATACAATATAAGCAAGTAGTTTGTTTATGTTTACTGTTCCAAACCCCACTGGCTGATTTCCCCCATAGAAGAGTCAGGATTCAAGTGTTTCTAAGTTTCAAAATTTTGCTACTTGTAAAAGGGTAGTTCATAGCCTTTAAATCTGCAGATTTGTTTCAACCCTGATGTGAACTCACTTCATCAGTTGTATTATTTATATGTATTCAATATTTTAATAAATGAAAATTAAGTAAAATTTTTAATCCGTTGCCTCTTACACTGGCCAGACTTGAGGCATTTAATAACTGTGTGTGGCTAATGTGGCTGATGAAAATCACAGAAAGTTCTGACCGTAAAGCGTTCTTCTGGTTTTGTTTTGTTTTTTTCCTTTTTTTTTTTGTACTGGGGATCGAGCTGAGGCCCTTGTGCTTGCTAGGCAGGCGCTTAGGCTGCTGAGCTGTCTCCCTGCCGTAAGGAAGTTCTCGATAGCTCGGCAGTCTGAAGTGCCTGCCTGGCAAGCGCAAGAACCAGGGTTCGATCCTCTGTGCTGAATGTTGTACTGGCCCTGCACCATGCTGGCCACTGAAACCAGATATGGTGGTACACACCTGTAATTGTAGCGCTGGGGAGGCTGAGACAGGAGGCTCACTGTGAGTCTGAGCTGCATAGCGAGACCCTATGCCAAATAAATAAATCTTTTTTAAAAAAGCATTTCTTACGTGAAGAGACATCATTTAGCCTACAGAAAAGGAAGCCTGGAATTTTTACCCTCTCCACCTTGATGAGTCACCATTCCTATAACCACAGAGCAGAGCTCGTGCTCTGTTCTGGAGAACCTGTCCTCTTCCTCCATGGTATGGGCTCCCCAGAGAAGAAAGAGGACAGCAGGAAGCTGCCCCCTCCCAGGGCACACCTGTTAAAATCAAATATGAATAAAACTCCAGGGGGCTGCCTTGCTTATTCCCTTATCCTGTTCACATATTCAGCATACTTGTACCGATTTAAGCTGTGGCTGAGTGTATGTGCTCTGTGAATACGTATAGTAAGGTGTCTGCTCAGAAGGCTTAGACTCATCAGGGTTCATAACGTAGCAGCTGCTTTCCTGTTGCTCCTTGCGCTGCTCCTTTCACTCCTGTCATCACCAGCTGCTGTGTTTTGAGTGTGTCCCTCCCCCAAAATCCCATGTACAAGAAACTTGGTGCTCAGTGCAGTGGTGTTGCAGAGCTACAGTAGAGCCAAGTGTGGTGGCGCACACCTGTGATCCCAGCACTCGGCAGGCTGAGGTGGGAGGATCACGGTGAATTCAAGGACAGCCTGGGCTACATAGTAAGACCCTGTCTCAGCACCACTCCTGCTCCCCAAGCTATAGCAGCACCTCTAGGAGGTGCGGTCTTTGGAGGGTGCTGCCCTAGGAAGTAATTGGCACAGTTCTCTTGAGACACAGGTTCATTCTCACAAGTGAGCTGTCATGCAAGAACAGGCCTGGCTCCTGGGTCTCTAGTTTCGTGTCTCACCATGGGGTCTCTCCCTCTTGCCTGCATTTCACCATGATGCCATCTGCCACACTGACTGGGCTGGCCTGTCTTGAACTTTCAGCTTTGCAAGATAAACATCTCATCTTTATAAAGTTCCTAGTTGTCAGTATTTGTTTCAGCTGCAGAAAGTGGACCAAGATACCAGCTGACTTCGTGTCTCTTGGCTCTTTTCAGGTCCTTGGAGAGAGGATCTGATTAGATGGGCTGCTTGCCATCCTTGCACCCTTGAGGCGGTGCCTTTGGTTGGATTACCAGTGCGTCCCCAGGGCCTTTTGCTAGAATTGTGATGCTGGTGCTAGAGATTAGAAGGCCCTGGAGCCTTTCCAGAGAGGCTGGGAGCTTGGTGGGTGCTGCCCTCCTTGGAGTAAACTGCCTAGCACCTTACATTCCCTGTCCAGTGTGTTTATTAAAACTAGGTTGTGACTCCCTAAAAGGGAGGGGCATGAAAAGAAAGCCCTTTTCTGTGGAGTAATGGCCCCTTGGAGGTGTCTGTATTCTAACCCCAGGAACCTGTGCACTTGTTGCCTTACACTGCAAAAGGTACTGTGCGGGTGTGGCTCTGAGCCAGCGTGGGACTGGAGATTACTGTGGATTGGGTGCAGGTGTGCTCAAGGTAATCCCAGGGGCTACAGGAAGACTGAAGAGATGGCAAGAGGCAGGAAAGAGCATGTGGCCACAGAGCTACTTGTTGAAGCGGTGTTTTTGGAGATGTGGAAGGAACCATAAGCCAAAGAACTGGGGTGGCCTCTGAAAGCTATAGAGATGACAAGAAAGTAGATTCTCCAAAGCTCCCAGAAGGAGCACAGCACTATAGACACAATGATCTTAGCCTTTGCATCTCCAGAACTGTAAGACGCTAAGTCGTGTGCTACCTTAAGCTTCTGGTAATTTGTTATAGCAGCAGTAGGCAACTCATCCGGGCACATATTGATGCATTTTGTAAAGGTTCTCTTCAGCACTTTCTACACAGCCAGCACAAAAATATCCATCATTGGCATGGAGTTCTGTATTTAGTTTAATCCCTTTCAACCTCTAAAGTGGTTACAGCACTAGAACAGTCACTGCTCTTCATTTTAGGTGGATTCCGTGGTCAAGATGCTTTCTGCCGCCAGGAAAGTAATGGGGATTCATTGCCCCTGGTAACTGAGAAGTACGAGGGTTGGAAGCCAGGACGGGCTTGGCCCGTGCTTCCTTGTGACCTTGTTGGCTCTGTTCTCTTCCCCGCTGTCAGTGTCATCCTTGGGCTAGTGTCCCCCTCTCAAGATGACTCTGGGCACAGCCAGGGATGAGTGCTACCACTGAGCTGTTCTGAATCCCAGGGCAGGAAGAGCTCCCGGAGCTGTGAGCAGGGCCGGAGCTGACCCGGCCTGCGGCTTTGTGCTTTCCTCAGTGTGGAAAGGAACGCTGAGCCGTGCCCCCCACCCCCGCCACCAAGGAAAAAAATCTGGGTATCCAGTGAGAGAATATTAATAACCAAGAATCAGCCAACAAAAAATATGTTGCAATATTTAATAGCTAAAATGTGTAGAATGCTTTAATAATGAAGTATTTTGAACATTATGTAAAAAGGGCACGTTAGAAAACAAAGTAGAATGCAGAATGGAACAGATGCATGGTATTAAATACAAGCTGTCTACGCTGTCAGAAAAAACGGTTCTGAGGCTCCTCTGAGGAAGAGTGTTGCTAATCTAATCTGAACTCCTCAGCTGCTGAAAGAGGGGAGCTAGGCCTTGAGCCCAGGTAGATAGGAAGAGAGTGGCAGTTTAATCTGTGGCTGAACGGGGGGCCACGCTGTGTCCAGACAGCAGATCCTTCATCCCTATTAGGAGTGAAAACCGCAGTTTATTTCTAAAACCTGCCGGGAAGGGACATTATCTGTCCACTAAAGCCCTTTTGCCATTCCAGTGCGGTTCACATTTATTAGCTTGTTTCCTCTGCACATTGCCAATTACAGCAGTGCTCATTGTCAGGAAAATCCTTTGTGTCCGCAGTCACAGAAGAAATGCCAGAACTCATGGTAGCCTGGCAGAAGTAGAGGCTCAAGTGAGCATGACAAGTAATATTTTTGGAAATATAATAGTTGTGCCAGTTCAAGTAAGTGGAGAAAAAGTGCGTTGTGTAGTAAATTGTATTAGGGTAGTAGGCTATCCATTTGGAAAATGAAGCTACAAGAAAGGAATTCTAGACGGATCAGAGACTTAAACACAAATGGAATGAGGATTTATAAGACAACTCGGGGATTTTGAAAATGCAATCCTGAGAAAGGGAAGGCTTTCTTACATAGAATTCCAAGTCTAGAGGTATAAAAGGAGTTTCTGAGAGCAATGTAAGAACTTGAACTCTGATTTCAGATAAGCTGGGTTTGTTTCCCTTTTTGCTTTTTATGGCTATACGATCTCAGAAGTGAAAATATCCTATAAACATACAAAAAGATGTTTACTCAAATACATATAAAATGATGAACTCTTGTCTTTTGCATCTCAAACTGGCAAAAGATCAAAAATACATGATCATTACATATAGCTAAAACATGCCAGTAAACTTAATTAAGGCATTGCAGAGTACGTGAAGAATATATTTCTCCTGTGCTGGGGGAAGAGGTACGCAAAGTCTTTCTGAAGGGTGAATTTGGAAAGGAAGCTGTTAAAGAGGTGTCATTGTCCTTAAACTCAACATTTCCAAGTCTGCAGATCTATGCAAGAGAAATAGTTACATTGAAAACTAAGCTAAATAGCTCAGTGGATTAAAGCACCTGCAATCAGGTGCAGGGGCTGGGGGTTTGATCCCCGGGCCTGCCCTGCCAGCCCTGCCCCTGGGGTGCACTGAGACAGCAACTGACACTGGGCATGGTGGCACACGCCTATAATCCCAGCTCTTGGGAGGCTGTAACAGGCAGATCACTATGAGTCTGATCTAGTAGTGAGACCCTGTAGACCCTTCCCTAAAATACAAAAAATAAGAATAAAATAAAACTAAGTCTTTGACTGAGTCGTTGGCTAACGGAGCTAAAAAACAATAATATAAATACTTATTAGTGAGAATTAACTTTCTGGCAGTGGATAATAAGATCCTTTTTTTAAAAAAAAAAAACCCAGAGATACCTATATTTTTGCTGTAAAACTACTGGCAATTGTTTAGACAGTATCCCCCCCCAAAAAAAAAAAAAATTGCTAGCAAGTTTGCTTTACACTAAGCAGTCATAAAGAATAGCTGTTTTGGTGGGTCTCACCATGTAATCCAGGTTGGCCTTGAATTCACTATGTAACCTAAGCTGACATTGAACTTGCAGTGATCCTCCTGCCTCGGCCTCCCGAGCGCTGGGATGACAAAAATGCCACACCCAGCTAAAGCACAGCTCTCTTAACCAAGCAAGATTTTTTATAGCCTTCCATTAAAAACATGTACCAATTTTTTTGCAGAATGGAAACAGACTATAATCCCATGGAGCTAAGCAATATGTCAGGATTTGAAGAAGGATCGGAGCTCAATGGCTTTGAAGGAACTGATGTAAAAGACATGAGACTGGAAGCGGAAGCCGTGGTAAACGATGTTCTCTTCGCCGTCAAGAACATGTTTGTCTCAAAAAGCCTGCGCTGTGCAGATGACGTGGCCTACATCAATGTGGAGACTAAGGAAAGGAACAGATACTGCCTGGAGCTCACGGAGGCAGGGCTTCGGGTAACTCACTTTTCTTCTTAGGAAAAAGAAATCTCTGCCACTTTGCTAAAAAGGGTGGGGGAAAAAGGGGTGCTGCACGAGTCTTAAATAAAAACTAGATATTAGGGAGCTTCCAAAATTTATTTAAAGAAAACTGCAAGTTTTTGTTTATTTGGGGTTTGCTTGTGGCAGAGTCTCACTGTGTAGTCCAGGCTGACCCCAAACTTGCCTGACTCTCCTGGCTCACCCTCGTGCCTAACTCGTTTTGGTCAGCTGGGGGAATTGAAGTTTTTCAGATCAAAAAAAAAAATCTCATTGTCAAGGTGTTACACGCTTAATCATCACCCACAGAAATTCTCATCTGAAGCTAGATGTGTCCAGCAGGTCACGTTCTCTGTAACCCACACGCTGCAGTCTTTGCAGTCCGCAGTCTTTGTGTGTCTCGCACCACACACGCGTCTCTTCTGTTAAAATGAGACGCATGTGTGGCTCCTGCTTCCCAGCTGTCAGATTACAATTAAATCTGAGCAAAACATTGCACCGCAAGATTCCCAGCAGTGCCCCGCGGACGTGCCCCTGGTGGGTATTTCTTATTACAAGTGTACTTCTCTAGGCAGAGTTGCCTTTCTGTATCCTTTAAACCAGAATCTTAGCTTATAATAATAGAAAGCAACACCTGTGAGCAACTTTAAAAAGCACGAACACATTATGAATTACTGAGCAAAGAGATAGCTATTAGAAAATCGTTTTAACTTACTAACCAGTCATTAGTCTCCGTCAAAGATACATGACTTTTCTTTGTATAATCATAAGGTAAAGAGCAAAGCCTAAATAAGTAACTGTAAATGTCACGTAATATTGTGTTGAATAGTACATGGATTTCACTGGCTTCCTTCAGTCCAGATGGGTCGTAGGTGCTGCGTGTTCCTTGAAAAAGCAGGTTTAAAGCCAACACCTTCATTGCTCCTGGTCCTTCCTGGTGGCCACTTAGGTGGCTGCTTAGCTTTAGGACTCTTACTTGGATTCACCAATTTTTATGCACTCCTTTCAGAAACCCCTAATTTACACTAAAGAGCTGTAGGGTATCTTAAGTAGAAATTAAATTTAGAGCTAAGTGACAAGGTAAATTTATCCTGCCTTACATTGGTTAATTCTCAGATGGCTCAGGTCTGGTAGAGTCAGAAGTCTGAAATGTAAGTGATCTGGGGTGAGTCAGTCTCTCTGAGTCCCTGCTTCTTTATAACTTAGAACTAAGAAACTAAAAAGGATTTGGGGGATGGTTGTAGAAATAAATGATCTAAAAAGACTTGGTTCAGACGTCAGACCTGGCGTGTAATAGGTGCTCAAACATTTGTCTTTCAGTTTGATTGATTTAACATTTATTGAGCAGCTGTCCTGTGTCAGCAGTCGGAAATGAAGCCATGACTAAGATGTGATCGCTGTCCACCAGGAAGATCACAGTGCAGGGAAAAGAGAGGGACAGACAGCAGTGTACCACCCCGCAGCGTGCTGGAGCAGCATTGGAGCTGAAGAGGTGGACTCGTTCTCCTTAGGTGTCTGCCTCCGCTTTTCATTGAAAAAGAAGTATTCAGCTTCTATTTCTAACATGAACTTGGATTTTCAGTGGCTTAAGTAGAAGTCACTGAACTGGGGCCATAGCTCAGCAGTAAAGTGCTTGTGTAGCGTGTGCCGGGCCCTGGTTCTGTCCCCAGTACCGGAAAAAAAAAATAAATTAGTAGTGATTAAAATGTAGAATTTCTACAGGAGATTTATGAGCTTTAGTTGAATCAATAAAAAATTTTGCCCTGTACTATACTGGTGACCATGATATATCTGATAATCTTGTTAGAAATAAAAGCTTTAGTTACATTTAAAGGGAAAAAAAGAATCACAGAGTAACATTCCCTCTTATGCCATGGATTGTTTGTTATTATTAGGTGAAAGTGGCCCTTAACATTACTAATTATAAAGCTAAGTAGCTACTAAAACTAATAAATAATTACTAAATATAAGTGAAACTATTACCTATTAAAAATAATTGTTAAAATTAAATTTCCAGGAACAATTTCTAGAATTTCTTAAGAACAAAATCTTTACTGCTAAAAATTATGAACTAATATTACATTATCTATTGTAACATTTAATGTAGTAGACCCTGAGTGCATCTATAATTAAATAGAATTAAAAAAAATAGAAGTATGTTTTGGAATTGGAAAATGAAATACTGTTTTGTATAAATTTTAAATTTCTATTGAGTCTTTTTAAGAGCTTTTAGAAATGAGTAATTTAAACCTCTTAAATTTTGCAAAAAATTCTACTGAGAGCCTTTTGCTGGTGGTGTTCCTGTATTACAGGAATTGCTTAGCTACAGGTGGTGGAGAACGGGCCCGCTGTGCTCTGCTTGAGAACTGCTGGCTCACTGTTGCTTTCTCCCCGCAGGTGGTGGGGTACGCGTTCGACCAGGTGGAGGAGCCTCTGCAGACACCCTACCACGAAACCGTCTACTCGTTGTTGGACACGCTCAGCCCAGCCTACCGGGAGGCGTTTGGGAATGCGCTCCTGCAGAGACTGGAAGCTCTGAAAAGGGATGGACAGTCCTGACTACACCTTCCCCTTAGGGGGCACTGCTGCTGGTACAGAACGTGGCGGAAAGCGTGAAATTGTTGCACACACTCATAGTAGAAAATGCATCTTTGATTTTGTGTGCTTGCCACTTGCTTCACATTTAGGCTTTTGACTCAGAACATCACTGACTAACGAATTGAATTCGTTTCTGCTTCATTAAGGGAAGTCTGAGGCCATTGCTATGATACCATCATTGAGACATCTAAATTTCTTCATAGGAATTCTCTGCATTTCCGAACCTAATCAGTATTTCATTCTCTTATTACAGGGCTTCGATGCTGCCAGCACTCTCTTTATCATAGGAAATTCTAGATTTGCACAGTAAAATAGGAATTAGAATTGCCTAACTTCAAACTGGGACTCAGCCTGCTAAATCAGGGGTTTGCTGCTAGCTTGGACTGACTTCGTAGTGATTATTCTGGTACTAGCCTTATTGGAAACAAACTGTCAACTGGTTTCTCCTGCACAAATTTTGAAATTCACTGCTTCACCTCATCTTTATATTACAAATGCAGACTGAAAAGTGAATGACTTGCAAATGATTTAGTGTTAAATGAAAGACAGGGACAGAAACAGTTACATGTTCCTTGTTTGCCACAACCAGCCAACTAAGCAGAGAACAAACTGTTAGCAAATGAATGTAATAATTACTCAATTCCAAGATACCTAAGCACATAAGCAAGTACAGGACCAGGCCCCATCCTCCACACAAGCACCCTCAGTGTGTGTGATGCAAAGAAAGAAGATTCTGGTTTCCTAGAAAACAGTATCGTGGCCTATGTTGGTTCTTACTCTGAATGTCTGTTTACATACTGTACAGTGTATATGCAGAAAGTATTTTTGCTCCCACGTTACTTTCTACGGCGTGAGGCTTTGGTATTCCCCAGGACCCTCCCCACAGACGGACTGCCTCCGTCTCCTGTTCCTTGTGCAGTGTACTGTGAGTGTGCAGTGTGGGTTTCAAACCAAAGGATGAGTGAAGTATTCAGAGACTTCCTCTTTGACAAAAAGATCCTCTGTATTTTATATTTTATTACAGGTACTGATATTTATAAACCTAATAAACTTGGCCATGCTGCTGCATGTTTTCAAGTGCATATTGAACAATAAAGATTGAGGAGTTGTTTTCTTGTCACCGAAAAGAAATACTGAACTAAAATTCCACACACCCAGACACACCTTCATAAATTTGTCATCTGCAGGTCTTTTCATTATTTTTTGGAAACAGACATTTTAGGCTCTGAGCTCACGTGAGGGCTGGAAGTGCAGCTCAGTGGAGAGGGTTTGTCTGACATGCAAGGCCCTGGGTTCAGTCCTCAGCTCGGGAAAAGGAGGAAATGGATCAGGGGGGCCAGAGCAAACTAGAATTGGGTTTGCATTGCTGTCCACTGCTGCGCTTCATTGGAATGCTTTATGTTTGTAACTATGTTCACTTTCAGCTTTGTTTGCAGATGCTTAACATGTGGGCAGTGAAGTCCAACCAGGTGGAACTTTCTCATGCTTCATTAATCTCAGGCTCACTGTAAATGATATTTGTAAAGTTTGAATAAAATTGTTTACTCATTTACATATGAAAAAAGCACTTGTATCTTTAAAAATTGAAGTTGTTCATTTTGTGATAGATGACTGACTGCAAGCGCTATAGTTTCCATTTTTTAGTTCTGTGTGGTTATATTCTAATTTAGGGTGATAAAAAGTTACTCTTTTTATTACTACATAAAACATGTATTTACCTGAGAAACCTGGACATTAAAACCTCCATTTTCCCTGATGTACTGTTTAAAGAATTTAACTAGGTAAATTGAGCCTGGATTTCCCTTCTTTTTTTTTTTAATTTTAGGGAAGGGTCTACAGGGTGTTCAGGGTCTCACTACTAGATCAGATTCATAGTGATTCTCCTGTTTACAGCCTCCCAAGAGCTGGGATTCCAGGCGCGCGCCACCACGCCCTGTCTCAATTGCAGTATCGGTGCTTCCCAGGGGTGGGGCCAGCATGGCAGACCTGGGGATTGAATCCCCTGGCCCTTGTGCCTGCTTGCAGATGCTTTTATCTGCTGAGCTATTTGTCCAGCCCTGGATTTCCCTTCTAGAAGAAAAAAAATTCTCTAATTTACAAGTAAGAAAAATAATGGGCAAATAATAGAGCCAGCAATTTCAAATAGGGAAAAAGTGAAAGTTGCCCAACCAGCAACATAAAATTTAAAAATAATTGAGCCATATCACCTAATAATTGGTGCTTTCTATTTTAAATAAAATATAGTACTTCACCAGGATTTAGGGAGGGGCACTTTGCCTTCTGTGGGAGAACATACTGATGAAAGCTTTCTGGAAATCCTGGTGCTAGAATCTTCATAAAGATTAACTTCTGAACTGATGCTACACTAGCGTAGGGAAGTGACTCGGTGAACTACAAAGATACTCATTTTCTCTGATGAAAAACCAGCAGGGCTCTGAAGAGTGATAAGTTATGTTATGTCCTTTTGAAAGAAAAGTATACGATGATTTGAAATTGTGGAAAAGTGCAGTTGTGCAGTGGATATGCACAATTCTGAAAGATCTCCTGTCAAGTCAAATAGCATTCTGAAATACTAGGCCTGCGTGGGTGATAGGTAATTCTTATCTTCCTGTACTTTTTTCACAGTTTCTACATTACCTTGTAGTAACTAATCTGTGGGGAAGCAGGGCTGGGGTGTGGCTCTGTAGGAGAGCTCACGCTTCCCACGCATCAGGTCCTGCCAGCGTCCTACCAAATTAGAGGATGGAGGAGGAACGTGTAGACGAGGGAGGTGAGCTGAAGAGCATCTCTCCAGCAGAGCAGCCAAGCCGTGCTGAGTCTCATCTGCTCCAAGGTGGTGTGACACCTCCCATAGTGACACCTCCTCCCCGCTCTCTTGCACGTCCCAGTCACTGCACTTCTCACACGGCTAGCCACCAGCTCGTGGTGTCCTTGTCACTAGCTTCCTCCAGCTCACACTGACTTGCCAGGATTCAGAAACATGTGTTCAGAGAGAAGAGTAGGAAATACCAGTGCAGTGTGCCGCCTCGGCTTTAGGACTCTCCCTTCAACCCCTCTATTTTAGGGATGACATCACTGATGTTTGGGCAGATTGAGGGGCTTGGTTGGCAGCCCACAGAGCAGTAGAGTTGCAACCACCTGAGTCTTCTGGTTCCACACAGCACGTTAGAAGCTCTCCCGTGCATTGGTGTGTAGGCTGGTTTGGAAAAAACAGGAAAGATCCCTCCTTTGTGTAATAGAATTAGCTAGTAGAGAGCTGTAGATAAAGCTCAGATGGTAGAGGGTTTGCCTAGCACGTGGGTTCCATCCCCAGTGCTATAGCAAGAAATCTTTCCTAACGTGATGGGTGGGTGGATGAATGGTGGATGGGCAGGCAGGCAAACAAAACCTGGAAGCAAACCCTTTGTAACTACAGTGTGAGCTCACTTACCAATCAACAGTAAAAATGAAGTTGGCCGTGGTGGCACACACCTGTAATCCCAGCGCTCCACATGCTGAGGCAGGAGGATCACTGCAAGTTCAAGGCCAGCCTCAACTACATAGTAAGACTCAAAAAGCAAGAAGGAAACAAAGATAAGTTACAGCATTGGTAGTTGAGTAGCAGAATAATTTTCAAAGTGTTTACCACACTTAATTGCCAATTAGGAATATGGAAAGAAGCTAAAGATTTGAAAATACAGAATCAAGTAAATTTTAGGGTATTTAAAGTCATTTGAAAGAATGCTGAATTATATTTACTCCCCAGTTTTGCAGCAGTCTTCATGAATAGGTTCACATTTAAACTGGTAGCACTTTTTTGTACCCTGAGCAAACTGCTCCAAAGTCAAGTTTGCAAAATTTCAAACTATCAAAACAAGGAAAGTTTAATTAGGTTCCTGTGTGTAAAAAAAGAAAACAAAGTAATAACAAATTCACAGTTGCCTGCCTACCCCGCAAGCGCTCTAGGGGGCCTCAGCCTTGCTGGGACAGCACATAGCTCCACTTGGGAAGAGCACTAGGGAGTGTGTTGATATGTACTGTCTACACCAGGGTTCAGCCTACGAGGATTAAAAGGTTAGTCCCAGTGGTTTCCAGGTGTTCAGAGCTGTCAAAGCCAGATGTCAGGGCCTGACCCCCAGAGCTCCGCTCCCCACCCCCACCCCCATACACACTGTAAGGAAATCCTGGGCCACCTTCCATTGTGTTGAAGCAACCAAGATTTTCTTTTTTTTTTTTTTTTTTTGGCAGAACCGGGGATTGAACTCAGGCCCTTGCGCTTGCCAGGGAAGCGCTTATTCCACTGAGCCATCTCCCCGGACCCGATTTTTTTTTTAACTTTCTGCAAAGGTTTATTCCAGAGGGGCTCAGTCCTTGGCAGCTGCCTTCCTCATGGCAGCCAGCACGTTGCTCAGCTCCTCACGCTTCCTCTTGACCTGGATGTGCGTCCCCACCCTTTTCTTGATGAACTTGAGGGCGTGTTTGTCCTTGGAGACCTTGGACAGCTCCATGGCTCTCTGCGAAGGGAAGCCGCACACCTCCCGGATCGTGTCCCGCATGAACTTGGTGTGTTTGGTGAGGCGTCCACGACTGCGGCTGTGCCTTGGCTTGCTCATATTCTTAGTCACCTTGTGGCCCTTGTTGAGGCTCACAACCATGGGACAGTGGAGCGTCGTGGCTACTGTTCTTCGATGGTCACTGTGGAGGAAGCCAACCAAGACTTTTTTAAAAACAAGACCAGGAGCCAAAAACAAAAAAAACAAAAAAAACAAAAAACCCTACATACGTTAAATACTGACATTTAGCTGGAGTGTGGTGATGCATGCCTATCATCCCAGGATTCTGGAGACTGAGTCAGAATGGTCACTGCAAGTTTGCGGCCAGCCTGAACTGCATCGGGAGACCCTATTCCAAAAAAAATCCAAAAAATTAAAAATATTTACACTCAGCAAGTTAATATTTTAAAATATCTCAACCTAATCAAACATATATTAACTGCAGAATATATAAAACAACATTAAACTTACTACTGGGCCACAGCCTTCGAGGGCCAGTAATAAGCTGAACGCTGTTTGTACATTCGCTGGTTGAGTTCAGCAAGAGTAATCTCGTCAGAAAAAGGGATGAAGAACCTGAACTGCATCCCTTTCTGAAGAGTAGGTGGATCTCAGGGCTCGTGTGGCCCCACCCCGCCACAGCAGCCCACGGAGCGCTGAGGTCCCAGCAGCGCCTGGCTGCACACCTGGACCTCTACAGTGTCCTGGGCCTGGGAAACCATGGCAACCGCCCGACAGCAGCTGAGGTCCTGGGCTCACCACCCGCCACGGAAGTTCAACTCTTCCCTCAGCACAGGAGAGGCGTGGGCCTCCGGGCTTTGCCTTTTCATCAGATGCAATACTTTTAGCCATCAGAATCAACTGGACCCTGGGACGTGCTTCCAGAGTTTTGCAACAAGAAGTGAAAGGGGCCAGAGATGGCAAGACGCCCGGGACACACGCAGGACCTATTCAGCAGGAAGGCAGAGTGAGATCCGGCTGCACTTGCAGGGACTCACGGAAACGTGCTCCCTGGAGCCCCCTTGGAACCCCAGCCTCTGCTCTGCCTCCAGCCTCGCCGGACGCCGGGACACGCCCACCTCCTCGCGCCACGCCCACTCTCGCGTCAGGACCCGGGACCCGGCCCCTCCTCCTTAACAACTGACCTGACTCTGTCACCTTAGCAACCAACGCTGCCGCCCGCCATGGCTGAGGACGAAGAAGTTGCTTCTAGGACTGAGAAGGTTCTGCGGATCCAGAGGGTGTTTATAAACCTACTGGACACATACAGCAGTGGAAACATCGGGAAGGTGAGTGGCGGGGCCCCACAGGCACACGCGCGCCCAACGCACTAACCCCTCGCCTGCGACCCCAGGTGGCACAGGCCAGGCCTTCTCTAAGGGGCTTCCCAAGTGCTTCCACCTGGAAACCCAGATGTTTGGAGATGGCAGATGCGGTTCCTCTCACTTAAAGGTGGGCCATGTGAGCGGTGTCACCTTGAAGCATCCTTCATCCGTCCATCCCTTTATCCGGCATCTTTTATGCTCCATGGACTGAAATCCTCACCTTTCGCGGTCTTCAGCCCTGGACAGTGACGATCTTAGAAAAGAGAGCCCAGGGGCCTTCACGCTGCATTGTTTGAGCACCCAAAGAAGGCACCCTTAGTATCAGACCCATGGCTCTTAATTGTGTCCTTAGGAGTGGAGTGACATAGAGGTCTACCCTCCCTGGAAGACCTC